TCACACACACACTCTCTTTCTCTCTCTCGATCGATCGATGTGTCTCTCCGAGGGCGTTGGGTTCTAATGACTGTGTTACTAGTACAATTTTTAAAAGATTATTTCATTCAAAAGAAATACTTACGTGTATATTTTCCCATGTTTTACGTTTGGTTTGCGTTTAAATGCAATTGTGACAGACCTCCTAGCAGTTCCTCTAAACATTCATGAACTATCTGAGACTACAATAATACAAGAATTCAATAATTCAATAATTGAATCAATTTGGGTTAATAATTACGTAAACTTTTATGTCATTAAAATTAAGTATTTTAAGCATATATAGCAAAAAGAAAAGATTTTTAAAGAAACTCTTTTTAGCAAATGTTAAAATTAAGTACGTCACTACTGCTAATTATAAAGAACGTGCAAAGAATTTATAAAGTAAAGGTTGTAAGCAGAATGAAATTTTGGGCACGATGAAGCAAAAAAAAAGTTAAATACTGTATTGCGGTTGTTACATCACTCGATACAATAATCTTCTGTCAATAAAATTACATTACATTTTGAAAATATAGGATTTAAAACTTTCAGCACTTGATACTTACTATATTTGTATATATCACTCCTCCAGGGTTCCCGCGAATCTGTACTTCTTCTTCAATTACATATTTGCCTGGACCAAGACTTTTTCTAACTTTCACTTTAGTTCTTTCACACAGTCCTAAAGCTTCTAGTTGTCTTAAGATCCATAGTCGCCTATTGTCTGCTGATACCCAAACTCCATTTTTCTTGACCACACTGATTTTGGGGAAATCTTCTATTCTACAGCGTCCCACTACTAAATCGTCTAAAGTTTCTCCTATTAATTTCTTTGCATATCTGGATTCTTTTCTAAAACAGCTTGCAATCGTGCGCTGACTGAAATATATTTCTGAGGGTTGCAACTCTTTGAAAGCCATTTTGCTTAATGTTACTGTTAAAAGTTGTAGTAAAACTTATATATATTATAATACAAGTCCTATTTTTAAACCGTTAGTTTTTCCAAGTCTATTTTAAACATCCAATCGACTAGTAATCACTTTAACCTTTATATCCTCAATGTTTTCTGAAAATGCTCATTGATAAAGAAATACATGCACCACGATCAATAGATAACACTGCAGTGCGTAGTAGTACACTTTGAGATAACACATATGTAAATGAGTAATATTTTGTTACTTCAATTTTATTTTTATTTTCCCGTCAAATAACCCTTTTCCTTTTGATTTGAAAGAACTGGTTCCATTTCTATTTTTATACGATATTGTGATGTTTTGTTTGATTACACTTTAATAATTTAATTTTGTTTGTATTCTTGCCTCTCATTGGTTGATTTCCAAAAAGGAACGCATAACATTTTGTATGATCTGGTTTGGTATGGGGACACACCCCCTTGACAACCAGCTGAATCATCTCCAGATAGCATATGACTCCGTTGGGCCAACGTTGGGTTTTGGTTGTATGGTTGGTATAGTGTTGGCGTTGGGGAACAGATGTAGGCCCAACGTTGATCCAACGTTCATTTACGTTGGCATGAAAGCTAAACCAACGGTGTTGGGCATGTGATGTTGGCCCAACGTTGGTCCAACGTTCATTTACGTTGGCATGAAAGCTAAACCAACGGTGTTGGGCATGTAATGTTGGCCCAACGTTGGTCCAACGTTCATTTACTTTGGCATGAAAGCTAAACCAACGGTGTTGGGCATGTGATGTTGGCCTAATATTGGCCCATTGTAGTAACATGTTGACAAGAACTATAGCGACTTGGTGTTGGACATTAAGATGTTGGCCCAACATAGGTCCAACCGAGTAAGTGTTGACATGGATCAAGACCATTGTGTGTTGAATATGAAATGTTGGCCCAACGTAGGTCTAACTGAGTACATGTTGACACAAAACATTGCCACTTATTGTTGGTTATTCAATATTGGCCCAATGTTGGCCCAGCTTAATAAATGTTGACAATATAATGATTCATTGCTCTGTGTTGGACGTGCTGGACTGAACTGGAGTTTGTCCAATAGTAGGAATATTGGGATTACTAGTATATGTACAGGTAGCCTGTAATGTTTGAGATGAAATACTGGTCCAACGTTGGCCCAATTATGCGAAAAGTATTCATCAATTTAGATTTATCTATTGTAAATCGATGGTAATGATATAAGCAACTCCTTATAAACATGTGATCTATATTATATATTGAATGGAAAATATGAGACAATCCTTATAAGTCTGTGAATTACATATAGTAATTTTGTATCTTGGTAGATTCTATATTTAGCATCATTGAATCAAATTTAAAGTGCTGTGTTTTGCATGTTTTGGGCTCCAAAATAAATAGGTCACTGGTGAAATTCACTGGCTCGGCAGGTGACTCATAGGTCTCCAAGGAAACTGTCATCTTAATCAGTTATTTTTAACAACGCAATTGAACAATGCAAAGCGTATGTGTCTGTTTAAGTGAACGCAAGAATTTTAATCCTTTCAATGTAAGTATAGCTTTTGTTTTTGTTATTGAAATAATTAATAGTGTGAAATGCACAACATTGTAATGGCCTGCATGTAGGCTTCCAAATTATTGGTACTTGGTAGCTGATTAAACAATTTTAACTGATGACGATCTTAATTTTTAGAGGAATTGGCGGGCTTGAACAAAACAGATATGTCCGGATCTGTAAGTGAACGCAAGAATGTTAACCAGTGAGAAGAAAGTAACTATTTTGTATTTATATTAATAATGTGAAATTCAATCTTAAGGATTGCTTTAAAAATATGTGTGATGCTGATGAACATTTGAAAATACTATTTTAATTGATGACAATCTTAACGTTTACAGGAAATGCCGGGATGGAAAAACCCTCTTCACTCTGAGACTGTTGATGTGGCATTTTCTGTATATGGAAGGGACTGATTTATATGTGTGGGAAAACATGGATTCTAACAACAAATAAACAACAGAAAAAGTGATAAATGATTCAGATATGACCTTTCAAAACTGTACAATTAGAACTTGAAGACTCTTATATCAAAGCGATATTTAGTAGTGGACATAGTGATGTGGAATGAACTTGAGAAACGTTGAACTTTCTACCTCTTCCCTCTTTTAGTTACATTCCATGGAATACTTTAATGAAAGTGAAAGTGGCAAAGAATACATTGTGATACATTTTAGGAGGGAAAGGGTATTTGACCAAACATGGTGAAATTAATTGTGTCATAAAATCTGGGAAATAAAAATTACAGAATTTAATTAATTTTGTAAGACATTTGTATTGAGGAATAATTGTGCCAATGATTTTTCAAGAAACAGCTTTGTATCAACGTTGAATCAACGCCGAACGTAATAACTATATTTTGAACTGTCGTCCAGTGTAGGGCCGACGTTACAAAATATTTGGTTAGCATTGGTACGTTGGAATAGCGTTGTACCAACGTTGCCATTTCAACAAAAGCGTTGTACCAACGTTGGACCAACGTCATGATTATATTTTGAACTGAGGTCCAACGTTGGGCCAACGTTACAAAATATTGCGTTGGCGTTGGTATGTTGGAATAACGTTGTACCAACGTTGACAAATAAACAAACAGTATTGTACCAACATAGGCCCAACATGTTGGGCCAACGGCGCGCCAATGAGCAGTAGGACATTGGGCCAACGTAAATTGCCAACATTGGCCCGACATAACCAACATTGTTGGGCCAACGTTGGGCCAATGTCATCATGCTATCTGGGAATTCGATCTGTATCCATCAATCCCATCAATTCCAGTCCTTGGGATTCATGGAAAATTCCAGATTTAATAAATGTGCCTTTAACTTAACACAGTTGCTCGATCTTACCTTAAAGCTGACATGAATTCTTAAAAACGCAACATTTTCATCTATGTACGACTTGTTTTATACCAACTATAGTCGTATTCCGCCATATTTCTTTCAGATACCTTGTCTCATTGTAACGATATATACCCCAATGCGCTCGTTACAGTTGAATGATTTTTTGGTTTGGGTATCGACTTGTGCACATCTCCGATGGTAAAGCATATGAGAACACATGAGGAGATCAAGACATTTCAAAACCACAATAAACATAATAATCATATTTCTGAATAATTATTGATTTGAATCAAATGTAATTAAAAAAAGAAAGAAAATGCAAGTTTGAAAGAAAGTTTTAGTTGCACGAGTACGCATTTTTACACTGCGCCAATTTATGCAGAATAAACATGAAATAAAAAGCACTAAAACGCGTAAACACACTTTGAAATTACTATCATTTGAATAGAACAAAACAACCAGTGTCTTTGATTTGCAGGTTTTATGCAGACTTTGATGCATATCGAGAAAACGCGTCGAACTCTGTAAACGTACCCATACCTGGTAATAAGAACTCTGCATCGGTTCGAAGATGTGCACAAGTCAAGTGATATACACCCTGAATTCCATTTATTGAAAAATGCAACACAAAAAAGAAATAAACTCCATAAAAAATCAAAAGTAAACACACTGTGACTACTCCGTTCAGCCTAGCACATCAAAACACTTAGTCCGTGCTGATCAGATTTTGGTCAGGGAAAATATCACAAGTGGAAAAGAGAAGTTATTTGGTATTTGCGCAGCTGAAAGGGGGGGGGGGCTAAATTATAATTATAACGACTTTATAACGTACAACTGAAAATTGTCTATCTAGTTCTAATAAACATTCTATATATAGTCTGCAGTTGTTTTGCATCGCAAAATTCATTTGTCAATTACAACTGATTATTTCAGTACTAATCTCAAATCTAAACCAAGTAATTTGATATACGGTAATTATTTAGTTTAAGACTTAAAAGCATTTGACCAGAATACAAAATTTTACGTGTACATTTGTTCGTTCTTTAACACACACGCTAAAAAAAAGCATCCCTTGTTTAGATTGACATTTAGGCATTTGTATTTTTAAGGGGGGGGGGGGGGGCAGAAATAATTAACATGACCGTTACCTAAATAGTCTTGGAAGACAGACATCTCTGCCAATTCCATTTTTCGAGATTTTTTATTGCCTCAATCCGACCACAAAGTATGTGCATTTTTGAGGAATGTGGCTGTTTTATGATTATTACAGAAAGTCTTTCGAGATTTCAGTATCCCTGTCTGAAAGTCTAGCTTTTTTTTAAAAATAAAAATAATTTCTGTTGCAATATTTGGGAGATGTTTTTAAAAAGTAGGATAGGGATACTTGAAACCTGGTTGAATACAGATAATTTTTAATCACTATTTTATTCATTGAACTCTCTTTATTCTCCTGTAACCATCCGTAAGCGCAATAAGAGATATAAAATCATATGCATTTTGTGCTGTACCATTTATTAGATCCTGGGACAGATCAAGAATTTTTTTCAGGCGGGGATGTCGAAACTTGTTCAAAAATTGAAATAATAATTTTACATTTGACAAGAAAAATAAACCTAAACGCCGAAATTAAAAGGGAAATAAACGTCAAATCTACATCAAAGGAATGGGAACATTGGGAACTTTCTCAAATACCTTCTAGCTCAGGTAAGGAATCTGGACAAAAATAATTAAGACAAGAGGTATAAAAAGCAAATTTTTGGAAGAATGTGGGACTCTCATCGGCAGTTTGTTATCCCTTCCTACAGTATATTGTGTACTACTGTATATGCTTCGACTATTAACATTTTATGTCAAGAAATATAACGCACATTTAATTCCAGGGGCGGATCCAGCCATTTTTAGAAAGGGGGATTCCAGGTCGGTGCCCTCAGCACTCAGGCGCAGATCCAAAAAAAATTTTCCGGGGGGGGGGGTCCACCTCAGTTCCAAATAAAAAATCTAACCCAGAAATTTCTTGACAAGCAAAAAAAAAAAAAAAAATAATAATGAATAAAAAACAGACTCGTAAACTCGCCCAGACTTCAATAACTTATTTTGGGGGGGGGGGGGGGGGGGGGGGGGGGGGGGGGGTCGATGACTTCTAATTAGAATTAGAATTAGAATATTTATTCAATCAATTTCGGCCCACAGTGGTGCATATAGGACAATGTACAAAATCATTACAGTTATACATACACAAACAGAACAAAACAAACATTGTATTTTATAAATAAGCTTCGAACCTTAGACTTTTCATCCAATTTAACATAAATTCGCATTTACCAGGGAGTCTGCGTTTTCTGAGGGGGGGTCCAACGTAAACTTTTTTTCCTTGCTTTAGTATATAGATTTCATAACCTTGCAAATCCCGGGGGGTGGGGGTGGTCCTGACCCCGCAATAGATCCGCGCATGGCACTCATGCCTAGAATCACACCACAGCCACTTCAATTTGTATTGACGGGGGACCTCCAAATTCAGTTGACAAGCAAAAAAAACAACAAAAAAACAAACAAACAAACAAACAAACACAAAAAAACTTAAAAAAAAAAAACCTATGTATCACACTCTAATATCCCTTTTTTTAAGGGGGGCTTCCTGTAACTTTTTTATTCGGTACATTACTTTTAAAAATGCTTGAATCTGCGCATTTTCCGGCAACAAAAAATGTGGAGGGAGCTTCCAAATCAAAATATTATTTAAAACTGCAGCAAAAGATTATCATTAGAAAAGCCCCCTCCATTTGCATACTACGGGAACATTTTAAACCTTTATCTTCACTGAAACGAAATATTCCATGTATATTTCATGTATACTTCTAAAAGTTAGTTACTTCTGAGTTGGTCCAAAAATGGTATAGCCAAAGTTCGCTGGAATCTACCTTGCATTTTACTGGTGGGTGATCGGAGCCCTTAGCCAGGGTTACCAAGACAAGATAAAAGAACTTGGAGATGAGTTTCAATACATACTAAAGTGCAGCTCGTTACTTTCAGAAAGAATGCTATGCTTAACAGAAAAAAGCATAAAATTTCAGAATGTAATTAATTCTTAACACATTATAAGTAACAATAGATACTGTTTTCTGTGAAAATTGTGCTCGTTTATAAAGAAAAAAATAAAATATGCCCCCGGCCTAAATTCCCATACTTCACATTTATAGCAACGTACAATTTTTTGTTTAGTTTCTTATTCACGCATGCTTTATAGATCTACTGTTATGTATATAATCACCTATATATTTTGTGATCTCTGTATACTGTTGTAAAATGGTGAAGAGATTCAAAAAAAATGACTGAAAAATGATTGAAGTTACAAAGAGGAAAGCAAATCCGCGAAAATCTACAGATCTAGCGAACAGACAGGACAAAGGAGATTTTTTTAAATTCTTCAAATTATATCTATCTTTTATATTTCAGAAAAAAACATTCTCTCTCTTTCTCTCTGTGTATGTATGTGCAAAAATAAAGGGGGTCCAATCCCCGAAACCCCACCCCACTTCTGGATCCGCCAATGAATTCTATTTCGATCATTCATGTACCACAGCATCAAGCTCGTTTATTGTGTAAAAAATTATAAAATGAGTTTAAATCAAGTTATATTAGGTCTATATTTAAACAAAAAATAAAGCCAATACAAAGTATTTATAATGAAAATATTTGATCGTAATAAAATCCGATCTTTTTCAGAGAGCGTTATGCAATTTTTATTACCCCCCCCCCTTCACGAGAGAATCTAGTCAAAGGATGAATGATTCGTAATGTTGCTCGCTATGAAATAAATATAATGCAATTAAGCCAAGTTTGTAAAACTTGTTTACATTTACATATACAGACAAGAGTAATATTTGGTTGATTGAAAAAATTATTTGCATTTTTTCAATCAACCAAATACCAGTAAGCTTTCCACCTTTGAAATTTCCCCTGAACAAATAGACTGATCGTCGTGGACCACGTGCGTCCAAGTGCTATGTGGTGAAAATTATTTACTGTTCAGTTAGCAATGGATTACATGACTTCTGAGATGCATATTTCAATAAAAGTAAAATAGGATATTTCTTTAGACATGTGCACATCCCTGTAACGATAGCAGTATTCAGGTAAATATCTTTATCACTGCGTTCGATGCATATTCTAGACCTGCATGCGTGCATATCCAAACGGTTTTTGCTGTTTTCCGTGTTATTTTTTTTCTAAATTGCAGCAAATGCATTCAAAAATTATTTACTTCTCAGTTTTGTTATAGTTTTTGTTGGATTTTAACTTTTAAAACATGTTTTTGGTCAGTTTATGGATTTATGACAACTTTGCTATCGGAGATGTGTACATGTCGACAGTCAGGCTAGAAAATCACTCAAGTGAAACAATTCTACAAGGCTATATATAGCAGGTACAGGTGGCCAAAAATCTTCGATTAAATATGGTGGAATCGAAGAAATATGGCGGACAAGGGCGTACAGGAATGTAGTAAGTCGTACAAAGATGAAAA